GACGTTTAAGGGCCCGGAGATCACGAGCATCCAGTAGAGTTTTACGGACTTGACCCTTACGCACAGCGATTGTTCCAGATTCTCTGAATCTTTTGATGATGTTATGCACGGTTGATGATGATAACTTAAAAGTCTTTGCTATTTTACGCTGGGTAACACCATTCTGGTATTGCTGCACTATCTTTCTGCGCAACAATGGTGGAACTGGTGATCCTCTTACCATCTTGGCTTCTGAGAGACACTGACACTCTGAAAAGCTCTTTTTATACTCAATCATGTTATCAATTGACCTAATTAGTGTTAATTGGTCTTCCAGCTGTTCATTATATGCTCAATTTCCTTTTTCCAGCCACTTATTGCTACTTGTCCCAACTTTTTTGGGATTTGTTGATACTGTGAAATTTTGAATCAACATATTTTTCCATTAAAATGTTAAATTTACTCAGATTAAACTTTTGATCTGTCATCTATGTTATATTACAAATAAATTTGCCATCTCCACATCATTGCATTCAGTTTTTATTCACAATTTGTTTAGTGTCCCAACTTTTTTGGAATCCGGTTTGTACATTGTAACAGTTAAAAGAAAAGGGCAAAGTGCAATACAATCACATTTACCTGGCTAGTTGTTGCAGCAGACACACCAGTGATGAAGCTCTCGCTCTGTGCAGCTCATCCAGCTGCAGCTCCTGATACAGCAGATGAAGAACGTAGAAAAGGGCAGGAATGTGAGGGAATAAAGACGCTGAACTCTCCAACTTCAGAGATGAACTGGAGGGAGAAGCCGCCTAGTGCACAAGAAAAAACATTTATAGCCAACATTTAAAACATTGAAAACAGAATTGGGTAGCAGGCAGAATTGAACAAATGTCCCAACATTTACAATATCTTGGTGGAAGAAAATAGTGTAGCATGTCACTATACAGAGGTAAACAGAGTGAGTTACATACGGAGGACAGGTCTCCAGTTTCTGTGGTAACAGCATCACTGGCATCACTGGACTCCACTGAACTACAGACAGGCTGAAAAATTATCTGATGATGATAATGAGAGGCCAACAAGTAGTCCCAGTCCTATTGAGAAAAGAGATAGGTCAAAACAAAATGATAAAATGGTTAAGAACACAACAATGCAACCAAAATTGCATATTAAAAATTTAATAGGTACACACAAAGCGAAGTGGATGACTGACGGTTTGTAAGATTACCATATTTTACAGTGTATAAGTCGCACATTTTTGCATAAAGTCAGAGTCAGAGATTCTTTATTATCATTCGCACCACATATGGTACATGTGGTGGAGCGAAATTATATACACAGGGTCCCAGTTACATCCAACAATAAAATGTAAAAATTACACTAAGCACTAATAGCATAAGAACATTACGTTGAACAGCAGCACGAACATGAGTCTGTGTGAGCAGATGAGCACGCATGAACACATCAACATGGAACAGATCAGCAGAAAATGAAACAGATCAGCAGCAACATGATGTGATTTTTCACAGTGATTATTCTGGTTAGAGATTCATGAGTCCAACAGCCTCAGGGTAGAAGATGCTCCTCAGTCCAGTGGTTCCACACCCAATGCTCCTCAACCTCACCCCCAAGGGGAGCGGGGCAAAAAGTGTGTGTGCTGGGTGAGTGGGGTCCCCCATGATGCAGGTGGCTCTCCTCCCACACCTGGAGGTGCAAATGTCTGTGATGGTAGGGAGGCTGACTCCAACAGACCTCTGTGCAGCCTTCACCACTCTCTGCAAAGCTCCTCCCTCTGCAGCTGTGCAGCCTCCATGCCACACGCCGATGCCAGAGCACAGGACGCTCTCCAATGCACACCTGCAGAAGGAGGCGAGGACTGAGCCTCCCAGACCAACTCGTCTCAGCCCAGTAAGTGAAGAACTTGGAGTTTTTCTGAATGTGTGGGAAATTTGCAAGTCCTGCGACTTATACATCGAAGCAACTAATATATGTTTTTTCCCATATTTACAAACCAATTTTTGACTGAGATCTGACAATTTCATTCATTCTGACATGAAAAATATTAAACAGTACCATTTACAGCCACTAGAGGGCCCAATCCCTTTAAGGCAAGCCAAGCGTCTCATTAATAGGTAAAAGTGGCTATTAATGAGACACTTGGCTTGCCATACAGGGCCATCTTGTCTAGCTCCAGAACTCCTGGAGCAAATGTCAAATTAGCTTAATTTTGCTACGCCGCCCAGGCGAAATGCAGCTGATTTGACCATTAAAGTGCATTTATTAAGGAAAAGTTAAATTGAGACACACCTTTACTATAATTTTGAGCAAACAAACAATTAATTTTAAGTGTTAGTCTTGTTAAATTCTTGTTAAAGTCCTCAGGTGCGCGCTCCCACGTCCGCCATTTTGGCAACCAATCAATTTTTGGCACAACACCGGCCCACGTTTCCTGGTAGTCAGCGATGACGCATAATAGATGCGATTTATTCGGCAAAGCGACTTATTTATGTTTTTTCCCAATTTATTAGACATTTTTGAACAGGTGCGACTTATATGCCAGTGTGACTTGTACGGCGGAAAGTACAGTAATTATGTAGCCATGAGAAGATATAGAAAAAATACTCTGCATAGCTCTAACTCAAGCTGAACTGAAAACATTATTTACAATTTGACTGAATTATATGATCCTGTAAGCCTCAAAAGGTAATCAGCGCACATTAGAGGAATTTCCCGATATACAATCCAGCCTTTATAAAATTTACCCTCTAGAGCTCTGACGTGCTGCTGCAGCAAAAAAAGCAAAAAAACAAAACCTGTATTCTTGTACCCTTTGTCTAATTGTCTCTAGATATTATGACACTACATCAGCTGCAATAAACTACACAGTGGCTTAAGTTAAATCTGACTCGTGCTTCCTCAGGACAAACACACAGAAACATCACGCAGAGCCTCTAGCTGATTGACATTTTCCAGTCATGTTTGTTTTAACAAGAATGTACACAAACACAGACTATTTAAGAAATCTGTTTTAATTAGAGGCATTTAAAGAAAAAAAACACTTCAGGCAATTTGAAGATTAAGACGGTTTTAAAATTGTTTTTAGGCCTGTATTTAGCACGCCACTTAAAAGTTTAAAAAAATTTGTTTTTGTCTTATATTCACCCTTTTAATGCTGTAAGAACACAAACCCTATTTACTGTGATCTCTTTCCTAACATGTTTTATGTCCAAGCACTCTGCACATACGTATGCCAGTATACCGTAATTTTTTTTTTCTATAAATGTACCAATCCTTTCACAACTATGAGTTTATATCTTACTTAATGCTTACCAATCCTCAACCCTAAAATATACACACCTCATCAGAGCCTCGATCAGAATGACGAGCCTTCTTCGCTGCAATAACTGGAGAAAGAGGCACTTCAAAGTGCAGCTTGGGAAAGAGAGCAAATGAAAGAGAATAAAGGTAAGAAAAAAAACCTTTGGGTAAACGTTTTCTAAACTTTCAAATCACGTTTCAATCAACACCTACTTTACAAAACATTAGCAGTACATTTTGGGGGTAGAGCGCTATATATTGTTTTCAAGTAGGAATTTTAAAGTCTTCATAGATTAATAAAATGTTAAAAAATGAGAAACTCAAAAGTGGACTTACTTGTCGGGTCCAAGCCAACCGCTCTGTGTTGTAGCCCATTAGTGTCAAGAAACATGTGACAAACTGGCTCCACTCTGCATGAGCACTGGGACCTCCGGGGGCATTATAGATGTTGTACCACTTCACCAAAACCTGCACATTTCACAGAAATGAGAGTAAAAACTTTAGATGTGTCAAAAATCCAATGCTTTTTGCTTATTTGCAGAAGGGATGCATTTAAAGCAAAAGTAAGGGTTCAAAAACATATGTACCAGCTCAATGACTAAAAAGTATATACCATAATTTTTTGCCATACAAGTCGCACCTTTTTGTGTAAATTTGCCCTGCGATTTATACACCGAAGCACATAATATGTTTTTCCCCCATATTTATAACCAAATTTTGGGCTGAGATCTGACAATTTCATTCATTCTGACATGAAAAATATTGAACACTATGATTTGCAGCCGATTGAAAGCCCTCAAGTAATATGGCAAGCCAAGTGTAATAGGTAAAACTGGCTATTAATGAGACCCACATTTCACCTAAAACCTTCATAATTCACACATTCGTCTTGCTCCAGAACTCCTGGAGCAAACGTCAAATCAGCTGCATTTCTCTTCTTCGCCCAGGTGAAATGCAGCTGATTTGACCACTAAAGTGAATTTATTAAGGAAAAGTTCAACTGAGACACACATTTGCTATAATGTCGAGCAAACAAATAATTGTCCTTAGGTGGTTATCTTGTCAAATTGCAAAGAAATGCACAGCAAGTCCTCCCTCTGTGCACTCCCGCAGCCACATATCCATTTTTGAAATGCAGCTGATTTGACCATTAAAGTGCATTTATTAAAGAAAAGTTAAAGTCAGTGATTATTCAGGTCTCCCTTGTAAATGAGTCCCTAAGGCTCAATAGTAATGTTGAGCAAACAAATAATGGTTTTTAAGTGTTGATCTTGTTAAATTCTTCTTAAAGTCCTCCCGCGCGCGCGCTCCCACGGCCGCCATTTGGCAGCGAATCGATTTTTGGCACAACACCGGCCAACATTTCCGGGTGGTCAGCAGTGATGCATAATAGATGTGATTTATACGGCGAAGCGACTTATTTATGTATTTTCCACTTTATTAGACATATTTGAACTGATGTGACTTATATGGCGGTGCAACATGTACAGCGGAAATTACGGTATGTTTTAAAGCTTAAATAATTTTAATAAAGACTTAACATGTATTTTTCCTGACTGTAACTCTGGCTGCTTATTAGTGAAAATTTAAAACTACAAACCTTCATAGCAGCTTCCTTGGGCAGGATGAAACAAATCGCCTGAAGGCATTTTCTCACTAAAAAAAAAATCCAGAATTAAAAAAAAAAAAAAAACACAATGCGACAGTGAATCGTGAGAAAAAATTTAATAACTCGAGAATCTGTCAAGGAAAAAATCCTGAAGACTAACTTTAGATTGTTTGGCTTAAGCACATATTTTTCAGAAGTTCATTTCTTTGTTTTTCACCATTTGGCTATATAATTGAAGCAGTCTTTACATTTTTGGATAATAATCAATTTAAAGGTTAATTAAGTGGCTATCATGTGTTGTACCATTTAGGCATTAAAATTTTGTTCTGGTTTACCGTTTCAAATATAATTCAGTATTCATCTACACAATTCACATGTTTAATTATTTTACTTTATTTTGTACAAATTTAACTACCAGGAATCTGGACCTCAGCATTTATCAAGACATTTTTGTTTTACTAAAATATGAAAAATAGCTCACAATGTCATTTTCTTGTGGTCATTTTATCGCATACTTGAGAAGACATTCAGTGCAAAAAATAAAAAATAAAATAACAAGCTTTCCCAAACAACTGCTTTGCCTATTGCAAGTTACAGTTTTAAAATTACAGGAAGACGTTGTAGCACTGGGGGGAAAAAGCCCTAGAAGAGTAATTAGTGCCACAATGTCTGACCAATCAGATTCCTAATCAGCATCACTAGGCTATCTTAATTGGACATCCGAAGCGGGAAAGGTCAAGAAAGAGGTGGATAAATGCCATTTCATTAGAAGAAGAAAGACTTTTCATGTTGAATCAATTGTTAAAAAACAGGGAGCACTGAAACCAGAAGACTTTGGAGTAGATAAAGTCATACACACACCTGAGTGGTGCTAAAGGTTTCGAATACAAAAGTACCAAAACTTAAGTTTGAAATTCAGAAATTTAATAAAAAGCAAGATATTAAAACAGGCCAGAGTTGATGCAGACTTTGTCATGAAAAACAAAAATACCTAAACTAAACTTTAGTTTAATTGGCCAAAAAGTAAAGTGTAGCTAATAATAATTATTCCTAAGTACTTTAGCTCCCTTTTAATTTGAGACAAATTCATGATGAGCTAAAAACAATTCCTAGGCAGCAGCTGTGTAATTGTGACATGAAAAAGCAGATTTCATACTTTTTTTTTTAAACACACCATATCATGACGGACAAGTTATAGTTTATTTTTTTAAGGAGATTTGAGGGAAACTTCTGAATCAAGTTGCCCATATATTACATTTCACCTTCATGAAACGAACACAAACCTTAATTTTAAATTTCAAATTAACATAAAAGCTAATTTTACTTTGATGTGCAAAACAAAAATAAAACTAAAGATTAAACGGATTTATTTACAGTGCATGTTTGCAGCACAAAAACATAATTTTAAGGCTTAAGATGGGAAAACAGTGGAAACATGAGCATTTAATCTTTCAAAGCTGCAGGACACTGGTGTAATTGATTAATCAATTTTAAGTGTGTGTGCGTCTCTGCCTTGTGATGGCCTCCTTAGTAAATCAAGATTATATGTCATTGAAAACGTGCAGCTGCTCTCAAAACTAATTTCAAGGTTCTAACTGCTCTGACAGTCATCTGTGTTTGTCTAGGAAAATACTATTAAATTGTATGCTTCCCCCTGCAACAAATAGCCTTACTAGAGAAACCACCATGTTTTAATTGTATCTGTATACAAGTCATGCTCATTCAGAATGTGTGTGTGCAGCTTACCCAACTCAGACGTTGCGATCTCAGGAATAGAAATCCTCAGCATTGTGCCACTGCTGAGCTCCTACAGAAAGACAAAAAGCACACAATTTCAAAATTACCCTTTTCACTCCAATTTCACAGTGCAATTAAATTTAATAACATTTAAGACTCAGCTCAGCAGAAATGTAACCTCTAAAAAAGTAGCCAAATTGAAACAATACAATTTCCCAGTTGGATTTTTTTTTTAATACGTTATGTGAAAAAAGTCAATTGGTTTCTGTGAAGTGATGGAAAAAGTCAATATAGAAAGAATCAAAACAGTAGATGGTAAAATAAACTGATTTGTGATTTTAACCAAACAACATTATTATTGGGGGAGTGGTGGCGCAGAGAAGGTGGGCATGTGATCGGAAGATCGCCGGTTCACGCCCCGGTACCGACAACATCAAAAAATGTGAGTGGGGTAGGTGAAGCACCCACACTTGCCCCCACCCTCATTCGCCCCACTCTGGGCCCATGAGCAAGGTCCTTAACCCCCATCTGCTCGCTAAATAGGTCTCTCTTGAAAATGAGTTCTCGTGGCTCAATGAGACTACCTGTATAAATAAAGGGTAAATAAAAAAAAAATTTTTTTAAATGAACATAACATAGCTAGAAACACTGGTCTTTCAGAAACACCAAGTGACACACAGGTGAAAAAATTTGTTGCATGACCAATTTAACAGGTGTGGATTAAACAGTTGATAAGTTTGCACCAAATAGAATATTTAAATTAAGTTAAATAGCTGTATTGTAAATCAAAGCAACACATTTGGGTGTGTGGCCCTTGTGCAGCTGCTTTTGCCTCTTTTAGTCTGTAAATAACACTGGTAATAAAAACAATTGTTGGCAGGTTAAGTAGAACATTAAAAAATAAAAAAAATAAAAAATAAAAATTCTTACTTTGAAGCTTTTTACATCACCAAAGTGCTTTCTATAAGGTATGATAATATGATGTAACAACTCATCAGACTAAAGCATCAATCACTTAAAGAGCAGAGTCCAAACGCAAATATTTAGGCTGTTCTGTTTCTTCATGTCAAATTTATATATATATATATATATATATATATATATATATATATATAAATAGTGAGATAAAATAGCTGACACAAACATAATGTATAACTAAAAAAAAACATGCTGTGACTTATTCAAATATATCACATGATAAATGTATGCACATCCTCTACTAAACAGTAACTGAGAGTCTCATTGCTTTACTTAGTTAAAAAAATTTATATATTGACTCTTCAATACCTTAATCCTCTTGAGACCCAGAGAAATAAGTGGGTTTTTTTTTTGACAACAAAAAATTGTCGAGTGAAAGCAACATGTTAAAAAAATATATTGTCAAAAACATTTTTTTAATAGAATGTCCATTGCAGTGGACATTGATATCGTGTGCCAACTAAATAATTCTTTCATCCATTATTTTTGTTTGTTTTAATGAGAAAACAAGAACATTATTTCATGAAATAAAAACAGAAATTATTTACAATGTAAAGCAGTTTACAGCTCCATCTGCTTGTATTTCTTTGGGATCTCTTTTTACAGTTACAACATCAAACATAAGAAAAAACATTGCAACCTTATTGAACTTGGCTTGATTTTGGCATTTTGTAAATCTCATGGTCATATCATGAATGATACTGCAAGAAGCAGTTTTTTCTTCTTGGTTACACACAGATACATGTCATATTTGATGCATTTCACAACAGTTTTGTCATTGCAACCTGCACTTCTACATATTGATGTATTTGTCGCATCAACCAACTTAGGCAAATGGATTGAATTGAACAATACTTTTTATATCTAGCACTGTGGAGTTGTGGCTTCACAGATCTCTTCATCATTATCAGTGCTTGTCAGATCACTTTCTTGGCTTGCACCTGGAGGATATCTTTCCTTTGTTTGCCTGAGGCCTGACAGTCAGAGGTGTATTGGATCCAGCTGTCTGTGGCCGACAGATCAAAAATTTGGAGCACTATGTGGACAGTCTACTTTCTGGTGTGGCCTGACATCCAATAGATAGATGATGCAATAGATCATGCAATCACACATGTCCACTCCTCCCATGTTGGCATTGACACAATTGCAGATAAGGAAACAGTGAGGAGACATTTTTCTTTACTGGACGATCTCTTACAGCTGCTTTGTGGTTCTAACCCAAGGGCTGTAGAAGCCATGAGAACTGCCTTGTTGTCTTGCCACTTTGTTACTGCACGTTCCAAAGGTTTTCTTACAATCTTTTCAGAAGTTCCTCTTCCCTTCTGTTGTAGCTGATGATTACTTGGCATTTTTGCCTTACGTTCTGTTGGGATTGTTTTTCAAGTTCCTGTAGCAGGTAGACCCTTTGCCTGTAGGACAATCAAGTAATTTACCTGAGGTGAAGCACCTGTCAATGTAACAATGGAATGATTTTGGAATAGAATGTCATTCAAAGCAATGCATTTCCTCAAATTCCCAGCTACTCATCTTTAAATGTGTTTTTCCTGCATATAACTCCAAGTCTAAAACCAAATACAGTATTTGGACTGGCAAGAACAAAGACTTTAGGATGTTGGATTTTGTTTGCAAGCGACAAACTGACGTACAAGACAACAACGTGTAAAAGGAATTATTTGGTCATCCACAGATACATTTCTTGGTCTTGGTTGTTTACTGCAACCTTGACTGACTTTTTCCAATTCAATTCAATTCAGTTCAACTCAATTTATTTACAGTGAGGAAAATCAGTATTTGAACACCCTGCGACTTTGCAAGTTCTCCCACTTAGAAATAATGGAGGTGTATAAAATTTTCATCTTAGGTGCATGTCCATTGTGAGAGACATAATCTAAAAAAAAATAAAAAAATCCAGAAATCACAATGTATGATTTTTTTAAATAATTTATTTGTATGCTACTGCTGCAAGTAAGTATTTGAACACCTGCCAATTAGTAACGATTCTGGCCCTCAAAGACCTGTTAGTCCGCCTCTAAAAAGTCCACCTCCACTCCACATATTATTCTAAATTAGAAGCACCTGTTTGAGGTCATTAGCTGCATAAAGACACCTGCCCACCCCACACAATCAGTAAGACTCCAACTCCAACATGGCTAAGACCAAAGAGCTGTCCAAAGACACCAGAGACAAAATTGTAGACCTCCATAAGGCTGGAAAGGGCTACTGGGCAATTGTCAGGCACCTTGGTGAATAAACATTAACTGTTGGTCCCAGCAGTTCTTCCTCTGATTTCATCCACAAATGGTGTCCTGATTGAGTTTGTTGATTCCTATAAATATTTGGGTATCTTGGTCGATTCGCATCTCTCTTTTAAGCTCCATGTGGAAAACTTGGTAAAGAAACTGAAAGTTAAACTGGGTTTCTTTTTCAGAAACAGATCCTGTCTAACTCTGAATGCTAGGAAACACCTTGTATCTGTGACCTTCCTTCCCTCCATTGATTATGGTGACATTATTTACAAGAACGCTCCTACAAGAACCCTGCAGATGTTGGATGCTGTCTATCATGGTGCACTAAGATTCATAACTGGCTGTGATTATCGTACCCATCATTGCACCCTGTATTCACTGGTTAACTGGACATCATTAACTTCACGCAGACTCTCTCACTGGTACATTTTCATCTTTAAATCACTTCTTGGTCTGTTGCCTTCATACATCTCCTCCTACATGTCTCTGCGTGAGTGCAGCTACAGCTTGCGCTCTCAGGACATTATTACCTGCAGTGTTCCCTCAGTGAGGACTGAACTTGGCAAAAGGGCCTTCTCCTACGCCGCTCCTGTTTCCTGGAATATCTTACTAAAAGATCTGAAGCTCTTGACCTTGACCTCTCTAAGTGGCTTTAAGAATCTGTTGGACTCCTGGCAGGGACCAATGCAGACATGTTCCTGTTTTTAGTTTTCTACATTTGCCTTATAATCTAGCTGTTTTTTTTTTGTTACTTTTCTTTTTTATAGCCATCCTATTTGTATAAAAAAAAAAAATTGTATGACTGTATGACTTTATAACTGTTTATTGTTGTCGCTGTTGTCCATTGTTGTCATCATTCTTTGTTGTAATCAGGTCTCGCTTGTACATGAGTCCTCGAGGCTCAATGAGATTTACCTGTCTAAATAAAGGTTGAATGAATGTTGGAGCAATTATTAGAAAATGGAAGAAGCTAAACATGACTGTAAATCTCCCTCGGACTGGGGCTCCATGCAAGATCTCACCTCGTGGCGTATCAACGATCCTAAAAAAGGTGAGGAATCAGCCCAGAACAACATGGGAGGAGCTGATCAATGACCTGAATAGAGCTGGCACCACTGTTTCCAAGGTTACTGTGGGTAATACACTAAGACGTCATAGTTTAAAATCATGGATGGCACGTAAGATTCTCCTGCTTAAATCAGCACACGTCCAGGCCCGTCTTAAGTTTACCCATGATCATTTGGATGACCCAGAGGAGTCATGGGAGAAAGTTATGTGGTCAGATGAGACCAAAATATAACTTTTTGGTCTTAATTCCACTTGCCATGTTTGGAGGACGAAGAATGATGAGTACCATCCTCCATTTTAATGAAAAAAAGACTGAGATTATGGTCTTTAAATCCTGTGGTCCTAGCAGTTTCTCCACCTTGGATTTTTCCTCTTTGACCCCTTATGAAAAATCCATTGTGACAAATTTAGGAGTGAAAATGGACCCCTGCCTGAAACTTGACTGCCATGTAAACAACACGGTTAAGTCTTCTTTCTTTCAGCTGAGGCACCTGTCAAAAATCAAGCCCCTCCTTTCTAGATACCACTAAGAGACAGTAATCCACGCTTTTATTACTTGACACCTGGATTATTGTAACTCTCTGTTGATAGGAGTTAGCCAGGCCTCGCTCTCAAGGTTACAGCTGGTACAAAATGCAGCTGCACGATTTTTAACTGGTACAGGCAGTCGTAAGCACATCACTCCAGTTCTGATGTCCCTTCATTGGCTTCCTGTCCAGTTTCAAATCCATTTTAAAGTTCTATTTTTTATTTTTAAGTCTTTGAACGGTCTTAGTCCCTCTTATTTGTCTGAACTGCTTCACTTTTACATACCATCACGTGCTCTTAGATCCTCTGACCAGATGTTTTTAGCAGTCCCGAAAACCTTTTATAAATCCAAAGGAGACCGAGCCTTTTCAGCTCTGGCTCCTAAATTGTGGAATGAGCTGCCGCTGGAGGTCAGGCAGGCCCCGTCACTTTTTGTTTTTAAAACTTGTTTAAAAACACTTTTTTTTTCCCCATTGGCTTTTAACCTAGAGTGAGTCAGCATCTGTGTCTTAATGTTGTATTCTTTTACTTCTGATGTTCTGATTATTTTATATATATATATATATATATATATATATATATATATATATATATATATATATATTTAGGTGTTTTTATTGTTTTACTGTTTTTTGTTCGTTTTAATTTTGTACAGCACTTCGGACGGCTGCTTGTTGTATTTTAAGTGCTTTAGAAATAAATTAGTATGGTATGGTATGGTAAATCTTGGGTACAAGGAACATATTGCTAGCACAAAAATAATAAAATGTTTTTATGGTAGCTTTTTCCCCACAAAAAAATCAAAATACAAAAAAATAATCGTATGTGTCACTAACCCAAAATGGACTATGCTGGGTACGATTTTCCTTGCTATAAATTGCTTTAAGTTACCAAAACTACTTCAAACTATTGAATAAACTCTTATCTTTAAAAATAAATAAATAAATAAACACTCAATTTCTATTTTCAAATACATATTACCGGGCTTATTTTAATAACTTAATTTTCTTGTGCCCATAAAGCATGCTGATCGACACAACAGCCATTTTGGAAAGACAGATCTTCTGTTTCATAAAATGCAACCCAACAAACCACGTCCCTAGAAAGCCCAGGATGGCCTCAACATAGCACAACAAATTTTATTTATGTAAAATTTTCTAGTTTTGAAATATGGCTGTGAACCTCTTGTCCCTTACACAGGACAAAAATGCATTGTTGGGTCTCAAGAGGATGTGCTGCAAATATGTCTCGTGTGGGATCTATAAAAAACAACTGAAAAGTTACACCAATTTAATGATATTCTGATAAAAATAAAGAAAACAAATTTTAGATGTACGATTTTAGCACAATAAGCCTTAGGTTAAATCATCTTGAGTGGATCAGAAGTTATGGGCCGGGCAAAAGAAAGTTTACATATCTATGTACGTACAGATGAAAACTAGCCTTCAACAGGCGTATAAAAAAGGTTTCATCAGTGAATTACAATAAAACTTTGTTTGTGAGGTTTTTCTTTTGGCTGCTACCTTCTCAAGTGAGCAACTGTTTAACATTGGATTTTCTTCCTGACGTAACCTGGGCTTAAACCTGCAGCCTAAGGATTACTAGACCGCACAACTCTCCACTGAGCTACTACAGCCTTTAAAAAGCTTATTGATAAGGCAAAAAAAGACAGATGATCTTTAACCTAACTGTAAACCCTGACTAAACCAAACCTTTGATGATGAGCCCTAATCCTAACCCTTGACGCTAAACCTAAACGAGAACCCCCTGCCCTAAACTTAAGCCTCTGACCTTTGACCCTAAACCTAACCTCAACTGCCAAGCCAAGCTTTAATTATAAACACAAACTTACCAAAGTGACCTGGTTGCAAACAGGATCGCGTAAAGCATGAATGAAGGAGGTGGCTTGTTGAAAAGTGTAATCTTCAAAAAATGAGGCTTCGTGGTGTTTATTGTTTGAACCCTTTAGCTCAGATACAGGCGAAGGCATAATGTCCTATAGAAAAACGCAAAAATTAGTAATGTGGATGAAAGCCATAAGACAATACTAAAGCAAAAGAAAAATAGATGGAGAACTGCAAAAATTCAAAAAATAAAATCTAAAGTCTAATATTTTTGTCAAGCAACAAATTTATGCAAAGGTAAAAGAAAATTTATCCTAAAATTTAATAAATGACTATTTTTTGACATCATCTTAGACTTTACAATTTTGAAAGATAAAAAAGGAAAAAAAAAATTAAACCTTGCATGAAGTACAGCATATCTACAATAGATGCTGGTACCTCAAGTCTTTGGATGTGTCTGTTTCCAGCATTAGCAGGTGTGCTAACATTCTCCACTGGTGTACATTGGTGAGGGAGCTGGTTGGAAAGGTTGAAGGTGGGTGACAAGAGGCCAGGAACAAACACCTTACTGACCTAGGACACCAGGAAACAAAATTCATGACTGTCACTTGATGATGGCCCATAAATGGTCCGAAGTATAACTAACTACTCTATGTAGGACAGCTGTGTGTAACTGCAGTCCTGGACTTTTCTAAAGACTGTACCTACCCTGGTGATTCCTGTGTAAAGAACCAGACTGCCACATGCTTCCAGGACCAACATGGCATTTATATTCTGTGGAGCAGAGCGTCATTTTTAGCAACACTGCATGATTTCAACAAATCAACATTTTTCATGACTTGACTTATACACCCTGTACATTGCCCATTTAATGATAAATTGTTTGGTTTTTAAAAGTCAACTCAAGTTTAAGATTTCAAATAGTTAATTGTATTTGATCTAAAGTCCACATAACAATGCTCAAGGTACATATAATAACATACAAAAAATAAAGGCAGGTATCTAGTATGCTGTACAGGAGCACCTATTATTAGTGGATACTGTACAGTACAACTACAGCTCCCACTTTTATAAGAAACTAAAAACCTTAGATAATGTACCTGCAGTGGTGCAGCATCTTTGGCAGGAATGGTTGTCACAGACGGGAATATGAGCTGGGACGTATCGTTGCTCTCAATAAACTTAACACATCTGTTGAAACATAAAAATGTGATAAAAATGTAAATTTGTAGAATTCACTGCTTAAAGCTGGTCAGTGTATGAGAGATGAGAGTGAGACAAATAAGGTAAAAAGAAGACACTCTTAATTACATTTGAGGGGTTTTTCCAATTTCACAAGACACATTATCCATTCATGTTTTTGTAAGTACTAATGAAGTGCAGGGCACCAACAAATGTGTTACTCACTGATATTACCTGTAGACAGGACAGCTTGCACAAATCCAAAGCATATTCACATATGGATCTCATATATCACAGTCTATTTTTGATTAGTAAAAACCTAAATTGATAGCAATTAGAAATTCTATCTAATTGATAGAAGATTAGGTTTGCTGCCTAAATGCTGCAGAATTAATTGAAATACATGAGCAATCAGCAGTAAAGTTCTGAAGTAGGATGGTGTGCACAAAGTTTACGGGGTAGCTGATAAAATTTGATGTGGCAGTAAATGTGATGCGAGTCTGCTCAGTCACAGAAAGGACAAAGCATCTCTGCAGCTGACAATAAACATGAATTTGAGCTGAAAAGAGAAGGCAATTATTGTGATGAAAAATACATAATTCTATGCATAAATTACATCAGTACAGCTCAAGGCACTAGGTGCATGGGTTAAAGAAGAAAAAATAGTTTGAAATTTTTTCTACACTCAGAGCTTATCCAAAAAATTACATACTGTGTATGTTTATTGCTTATTTTTTTCCCGGCTGCTCCCTTTTTCAGGGATTGCCAAAGTGAACCAACTTGCACAAAACTTGGATGTCCTTCCTGACGCAACCACAGACCACTGAGCTACCACAGCCCTCTGTGTGAAGCAGAGAGTTGCCATCTAGGGCACCTATGGGGGCAGACGGTGGGTTTAAGGGTTTTGCTCAAGGGCCCAGAGTGGGGTAAATGAGGGTGGAGGCAGATGTGAGTGCTTCACCTTTCCAACCCACATTTTGATGACGATCCAGAGAGTCAAACCAGCAACCTTCCAAACAGGCTCACCTTCTCTAACCTCTGCACCACCACTCCCTATAGCAATATATATTGTGTACATGACCTTAGTAAAAGTACACAGTATACTGTATACATGACCTTAGTAAAAGTACACAGCAGAAGGACTCCTATGTCCATATGCTCTTTGTGGACTTCACATCTGCCTTCAGCACCATGATCCCTCAGACCCTGATGGACAAACTACTCACACTAGGGTCGTTTTCACACTAGATAGTCAGGTAGACTCGGTTCGGGACCAATACTCATGAGCTTTTGTTTACATTTGAGCTGGTGCGTTTGCATTCACACTGCATTGTGCAGTCGAGTCAAACTGTTGAACCAACCTATTCCCCTGCTCGCCTGTGGGGGCGCTGCACCAAGAACTACTGAAAGAAACGACAAAAAAACCTCTGAAGACACGTCTTCTTCTTCTGTAAATAAAAATAAAAACGAAGTGGCATCAAGTTTTAGCAGTTTTAGGAGTTATATTTTGTCATTTTTCAAAAATGGACTTAGCATGAGCAGAAGATGAGACAGAAGACCATGGAGAATATTGTTTTTCCACACAAGGCAGCTGACGGCTCCATATAAGGTCAGAGAAATGCGCGTTTGTTTACCCTGCGGAGCAGGGTCTGGTCTGTTTACATTCACACTGTACTCGAACCGTGCTGGAGTTCGCTTCTACTGGACCGAGACCTAGGTTTTAGCCCGGGCCAGAGTTCGCCTTTTTGTTCCATGACAGAGTTCAATGGCTCTTTCACACCTCCCTAAACGAACCAGACTTTCTAGGAAAATGAGCTAGAGTTTGATTAAAGCGGACTAATCAGGGCTAGTGTGAATGCACCCTAGGACTAAGCCCCTCCATTTGCAGCTGGGTCCTAGACTTCTTAACAAACAGACCACAGTCCATGAGGATCCACAAATTCTCCTCCTCCATCATAACCAGACTCACCTCACCACTGGATGAAGACCATCTCAGCGTGACCTCGGCAGAAGTAAGGAGTACTTTCAGGAGGATTAATCCACACAAGGCAACCGGCCCTGACAACATCCCCGGAAAAGTGTTGAAAGAATGTGCCGATAAGCTCTGTGAGGTGCTGGCAGACATCTTTAACACCTCATTTACCCTGGAGACAGTTCCCATCTGCCTGAAGACTGCCACCATCATCCCAGTTCCAAAAAGCTCTACAGTGACTGGTCTGGGCCAGTGGCCCTCACCTCGATAGTCGCTAAATGATTCGAAAAACTGGTCATGACCCACATTAAAACAACAACATAAACAAGGACCCTCATCAGTATGCATACTGCGAGAACTGATCAACAGAGGATGTCATCTCCTCTGTGGTCCACACTGTGCTCAACAACCTGGAGCAGAAAGACTCTTACGTCCATATGCTCTTTGTGGACTTCACATCCGCCTTCAACACCATGATCCCCCAAACCCTGATGGACAAACTATTCACATTAGGACTAAACCCCTCCATTTGCAACTGAGTGCTAAACTTCTTAACAAACCGACAACAGTCACTGAGGATCCACAACTTCTCCTGCTCCACCATAACCCTCAGCACTGGTTCTTCTCAGGGATGTGTGTTGAGCCCTCTCCTGTTTACTCTGCTCACGTATGAATGTGCAGCTACCCATCCAGGCTATCAAATTGTAAAGTTGCAGATGATACAGCGGTGGTGGGATACATCACAAACAATGATGAGTCCAGCTACAGGCAAGAGGTGGAACACCTGGAGAGCTGGTGCAAAGAGAACAACCTTCACATCAATGTGAAGAAGACAAAGGAGATGAATGTGGACTTTAGAAGGAACACATCTACACTACCCCCCCCCCCCCCCCCCCCCCCC